CCGGACATGTCCGGGAAAAACTGGACGTATGGTAACCCTACACATTATATACCCGTCTCCTTTAAGAACTGAAGAGACAGCCTGGATTAAGAAGGCCTCTCAACTTCCTCTTGCACCTATAAAAGGTTCAGGTTATTCCTCATACAAAGACTTTACTTACCCTCTGCAGGGTTGTCCAAATGCCCCTTGCCTCCCAACCATTCATATTTGTGTGCTACATTTGTGGATATCCAATTGGGTGTCTTACGCATCAATACCTATGATGCCCTCATTTCTTTTTCTCAGACCTCATCTACCTTTCCCTGTACCTCCCCAGTCCTCCTCCTGAATCACCATTTCCCTGGATTCTAATTGCTATCCTCCTTCCCTGAGTCTCCTAAGTGCCCCTAACTTCCTTTCTGTCTCTCCCACAAGTTACCTTCTATCTGCTTTTCTTCTGCCCAACTTTCAACCTAATATTCCTACTTTCTCTTTCTTCTTTTCTTTTCTCACTTAAGGGGGGTTTTCTCCATCCCCTTAATATCTCTATCTACCCTCAAACGAATCCCGAGCCACTTGCTGCACATTGGCACTGTTGTAGGGGCAGCGCACTTGGGTACACACTTAAGGGTGCCAGTTTCTACCTCCATGCATTGGGAAACAGCAGAACTGAGAAAGTCAAAAGAACCCTGCTGAATTGTCTGATGTGCAAAATTATTGCTGCTGAAAGGCAGCAGAGTTTTGTGAATGACTTTCAGACAAGCCATATGCAGCTGCTCAGGGGATAGCATATGTGGTACCTGTTTTGCCCCAGGCCTTCCCACCTACTTCCTGAAAATGCCGCCATTTCTGACATCCATGGGATACTTGTGGTTATTTTCTGCAGCAAGTTTAATACTCAAAATCTTCTGCCAAGAACATGCCTCTGAGGCTACTGTCACCCATGCATGGCTTTTGAATCTCTTTATTGTAAAAATCTGATAAAAATTGGTGCTCTCCATATCATATAACAGAAGGGAACATATGGCACACAGTGATTTATTTGTAGAAGAATCCATACAAAATTCACTGTTCTTATGCCAGAAGAATTTTTGGTTGATGCTGAAAAAAGCAACAGAAATTGTATAATGAGATCTTAATAAAACTGATCTTTCAGGCTCAGTAGAAGAGTGATAGAGCACAGGTGCAGTATATAAATGTATCCAAGCGCACTATTAAGTACATTTGCATTTTTGGACCATGCATTCTTTAAATCTGTTCCAGAAATATTATACTGATATTCAAAAAAAGAGATGGGTCTAAACCAAAACATCAGATCTAAATACTCCTGCATGTTAACAAATATTGGATGTAGCTTGGAGGAGATAGGAGCCTGTCCCTAAACTCAGGAAAATAATGCTGCATTGGTTTGAATTTGGTCCATATTTGGGAGGTTATTTTCACAAACAGAAGGGCTACAAACTATTGAAAAAACAAAAAAACAAGGTTAATGTTTGCAGAAATGGTTGGTTTACCTTCCATAGCTCACCAAGGAAAGTTTCCTGCTGCTCACTGGCCAGTAGCTGAGTGGATTTTTCAAGCCCTATACTACTATCCATTTAACACTGCACTGTGAAATATTCTAAATAATTAAAGCAAAGCTTCACCTATCAAAATTTATGAGCAAAGTACATTTTATGATTGTGTAGCCTTGATTTTCTTTCACAGCATTGATTGGCTTATTCGTTACTTCATAAAATTTAGTATTCTGCCATGAGTCTACAAATAATTAATTCAGAGAGCAAAGGAACGAAAGTGTGTGAAAAGAACTGTCCAGCTTCTCTGGTTTGCCGAGTAAAGTTAAACTTTCTTTAAGGTGCTATAGCTGTAAATGAAGACCTCCACATCAAGTTGAGAGAGAAAAGCTCTTCGAGTAAACAGTCCAGCATGAAAAGGCAGCTGACAGCTATGCTGTACAAAGCCTGGTGACTGGAAGAGACTTCATTTGGGAATTAATTCAATATAAAAAACTAACAAAGAAAATAATATGGTTGTTCTTT